CAATGTCCATCAACTGATGAACAAATAAAATGTGGCATATTCACATGGTAGAATATTATTTAGTCATAATAAGGAATGAAGTAGGGACTGCGGTAGCACGGTGATACAGAGTGTGCTTACCATGTGCAAGGCCCTGGGTTTAATCACCAGGATTTAAAAAAAAAAAAAAAATGTAGTACTGATGCATGATATGTCACATACCACACTATGCAAAGTGAAGTAAGCCAAGCACAAAAAGCTGCATACTGTATGATCCTATTTACATAAAAATGTTCAGATAGGCAAATCTATAGAGACAAAGTCGATTAATGGTTGTCAGGGGAGTGAGGAGTGACTGGTATTGAGTACAAGGTTTCATCTTGGAGAGATGAAGATGTTCTGGAATTAGTGGTAGAGGCTGCTTGATTTTGTAAATGTACTAAAATTTCATACTTGAAAGGGAGTGAGTCCTGTGTTACGTGAATTATGTTTCAATTTAACAAGAGGAAAGATATTAAAACTGCATCATAAAGAGTATGCTTGTTGGATAGATAACAGTGGGAAGAGAATTTTAGGCAGAAAGAATGGAATGAGAAAAAAGATGAATGCCGCAATAAAGCAATGTACCTTCGGTAAAGGGAGAATGACTCCAAGACCGGAGCACAGGGAACACAGAGAGGAGGGGCAAAAACAAAGCTAACTAGGTAGAGATGGAACAAATAAAAAAGCCCTATATACCAGTGAAGGAGGAGACCATGGGATACCTTGGTCTCCTCTCAGGACAAAGACCTAACTGCATTGCCGGACTCATTCCATCTTGTCAAGAAAGCCTTCTTTCATCAACTCAGAATCATCTAGCAACTACTCCATTTTGAAGCCCCACTCTCATTTTCTCACCACTTATAAAACACATCTATTTATATCATTGTGAGTTTGCTCCCCAGCAGAGTACACACGCCTAGAGGGCAGATTGCTTCCAACCTTGATCATGCAGGTCCAGGAACACAGTACTCTGTGGAATTACTAAGATGTTTCATGAGACTGGCAATTTTAATAAAACTAAGTTTCCTGACTTCACAAACCATTATTCACATGGCCACTCTATTGGAATGCCTGCCAAACCAAATTCATTCAAATCCTTGCCCTCTTTTATTCCAATGCCACTTGCTTGCAAAGGCTTTTCTTGCTTACCCACCTGGGTATAAACTCTCCCCTTTTTGAAATTCTGTACTTTTCTTACAGTACTGATTCCACCAGGCCTTGTACTGCAGTTTTTTGGACATTACTCTCAACACAAGCATTACTCCTTGCGTACCAGAACCTATACACCTTGAAATAATGTCTATGCCTTTCCTGATTTCCTTGCAACTCCCAGCACTGTGCTAGGTACAGTCTAAGCTAAACTGTTCAACCTGAAAGAGGAATGATGAAAGGAGAGACAGAAATAATCATGGTCACAAAAGTGTTTAAAAATCTTAGAGGAAACTACACGAAATAGGATGCAGGCACAAATAATGGAGTGTGTATTTTGAATCAATTTGTGACCACTTTGTGTGTTTATTTTCATCACATGGATTTCATTTTGCTACAACTCCAGAAGATCAGACAAAAGGTAATGATCTTGCAGCTGCTGTGTTCCCAAGTCTGAGGTTTTCTATGATATAAACAAAAGGTTCTGGAGGTATAGTCTCTGTTAATATTTGCCAGTGTGGGTCTGGGGGAGAAATGGATGGTGGGGTAGGAGGCAGCTGGAGGGAAATCCACCTAATGAACTGACAGTTCATATAAGCAACACCTGGAGTGTTAAATCCCTCCAAGTGTTATTTTACAAAAATACCCCAAACAACACCCACCCCAAACAACACCCCCCCCACACACACACTCTTCCTTTGGTAAATGTAAAAATTCTTCCACCAGCTGCATTCCAGGCTGAAGTGTGTGGCAGTTCAGGAGTGATGGCAGCTGGAAAAGATCTCATTCAGGATGTAGTGACACTCACCAGCAGCTATACTAGCAGCCAGGGGATAACTGGAGCCTACAAAATGAATCCTCATAGCCATATTCCTGTAAGGAAATGGATTAGCCTCAATCTGCCTGCTCAAAGTGCTCTACTTGTAAACACTGAGGATACTGAAAATACTTATCAGCATCTGATTGGTGAAAGGATCAGCTTTTCAAACAGAAACTCTGTGACATCAGCTTTTTCACAACTTCCCATTCATCCTTTTTTTTTTTTTTTTTAACAGAGAGCTAGAATTTACCTTTTCATTTATTCATGATGCTGAGGATCAAACCCAGTGCCTCACACATGCCAGGGAAGCGCTCTACCACTGAGATATCACCCAAGCCCCCACTCTTTAAAACTTTTCTAAAGACCAAGTTTTGCTTTTAGTTCTATTATTGTTAAATTTTTTTTTAAAAAAATTTTGTTTTAATTAGTTATACATGACAGTAGAATGCATTTATGCACTTTGATATATCATACATAGATGGGATATAATTTCTCATTTTTCTGAATGCACATGTTGCAGAATCATATTGATCATGTAGTCACATATAAACATCCAGTAATAATGTCTGTTTCATTCTACTATCTTTCCTATTCCCACATCCTCTCCTCTTCCCTCCCATCATTTTCCTGTATCTAATCTATGGTAATGCTATTCTTCCCTAGTGCCCCCCCACCTTATTGTGAATTAGTATCTGCATATTAGAGAAAACATTTGGCCTTTGGTTTTGTGGGATTGGCTTATTTTGCTTAGCATGATACTCTCCAACTCCAACCATTTACTGAAAAATGCCATAATTTTACTCTTCTTTAAAGCTGAGTAATATTCCATTGAGTATATATACCACATTTTCTTTATCTATTCATCTATTCAGGGACACCTAGGTTGGTTCCATAGTCTAGCTATTGTGAATTGAGCTGCTATAAACAATGATGTGGCTGCATTACTATAGTATGCTGATTTTAAGTCCTTTGGGTATAAACCAAAAAGTGGGATAGGTCAAATGGTGGGTCCATTCCCAATTTTCTGAGGAATCTCCATACTAATTTCCATAGTGGTTGCACCAATTTGCAGTCCCACCAGCAACGTATGAGCATATCTTTTTCACCACATCCTCGCCAACATTTATTGTAGCCTGTATTCTTGATGATTGCCATTCTAACAGTAGTCATATGAAATCTTACAGCAGTTTTGATTTGCATTTTTCTAATTGCTAGAGATGTTGAACATTTTTTTATATATTTGTTGATCAATTGTATTTCTTCTGTGAAGTGTCCGGTTCTTTAGCCCATTTATTGATTAAGTTATTTGTTTTTTGGTGTTAAGTTTTTTTCCTTTATAGATCCTAGAGATTAATGCTTTTTCGAGGTGCATGTGGTAAAGATTTTCTCCCAATCTGTAGGCTCTCTCTTCACTCTACTAATTGTTTCCTTTGCTGAGAAAAAGCTTTTTAATTTGAATCCATCCCATTTATTAATTCTTGTTTTACTTCTTCTGCTTAGGAGTCTTGTTAAGGAAGTCAGATCCTAGGCTGACACGGTGAAGGTTTGGGCCTATTTTTTCTTCTATTAGGTGCAGGGTCTCTGTTCTAGTGCCTAAGTCTTTGATCCACTTTAGAGTTGATTTTTGTGCAGGGTGAGAGATAAAGGTTTAATTTCATTTTGCTACATTTAGATTTTCAGTTTTGCTAGAACCATTTGTTGAATAGGCCATCTTTTCTCCAGTGAACATTTTTGGCTGTTAAATATTGATAATTACTGCAAAGCCAGATTCAGGCCAAATGTCTGCTTCCAGAACCTTGTGACATGGCCACTACTTCTGACAAGACAGAAGGAACTAACACTTATTGAGCACTTGCCATATAATAGGCACCAGGCCTGGCACCCTCTTCTTATTTCTTCCTTACAACAACTCTAGGAGGCAGACAGCCACATTTCACATACAGAGCAGTTAGCGGGTCCAGACAGGGTAAGTCTTTCACTCAGGAGCCTCAAAGAAAAAACTGGAAGAGTTAGATTTGTCTGACACCAAAGTCAGGTTCCTTCTATTGCTCTCTGCCACAACTACAGGATAATATGAGCCAGGGAAGTTCTTCCTTCAGAATTTGCAAAGATGCTACAAGAGCCCGTGATTCTAGAATAGGCATTGGTAAACTTTTACCAAGTGACTTAATAGTAAATATTTCAGCTTTGTGGGTTTTATGGTCTCCATTGCAATTACTCAATTCTATAGTAGTAGTACAACAGCAGCCATATATAGTTTATAAGTGAATGGTATGGCTATATTCCAATAAAACTTCATTTACTAAAACAGGTAGCAGACCAGATTTGGCCTACAGGCTACAGTTTGCCAACCTCTGCTCTACAAGGTTAATGTTGAATAATTATTTGGGCTTAAAATCAATAAACTTTTAATTTATTCAAGAAGCATGAGACTTTTCTACACTCGACAATATGAGAGACAAAGGATGGTATAAGACATGATCCATACACTTAAGGAATGTACAGCCTTTTGACAGAGAAAAGCCAAAAATAAGAACATGAGATAGCATGTGGTAAGTGCCAAAGGAGGACCAAGGGCTGACTGATAGATCAGGAGGATACTAGGAAATGAAGAGTTCACAACTGGATTGAATAATCTTGCAGAAAGAGTCCCTCTTAGTGGGCAAGAATGAAGAATAAGTCAGAAGTTACTGCTTTAAGCACTTAAAAAATACCCATTCTGGTGAGACCACATTAAGGTTTTCAGCACAAGTCAGATGCTAATGAAAGACAATACTGATTTTTGTCTCACCAAGCACTTTAGCTCCCTGTCTCATCCTCAAAGGACAAGCAATGGCCTAAGATACAAGATGAAGTGAGCACTTTTGGGAACCTGAGAGGTCTTTCCATTTTCCTCTCTGCTGATACTTTAAGCACTGAAGTGTCTGAAAGGAGCTGCAGGCAAAGGCCAGCAGAAACCACCTTGGTCACTCTTGGAAGTCTAGTAATAAGCCAGTTCTTAAAACCTTACCTTGCTCATGGCAGTCAAGGCAGGATCACAGGCTGCATCTAGATCCTGAACCAGCAACTGAATACTGCTGGAGATGACACTGCAAATCAAATCACTGTGGTCAATATTTTTAAAAACCACTGTTTGAAAGACTGACACAGGCCCTTCCAAATATTTTAGTCACCTGTGTAAAATTTATTTTCATTTTCCCAAACTAAAGTTTTAATGAATGACCATGAAGGAGCAGTTAGCTGTTCTTGGCTTGGACTCTTGGAGTCCACCCTCAACTCCGTCTTCAACACATACACATACACACACACACACACACACACACACACACACACACACACACA